AGCAAGGGCCCAATGCCCCTGTCAACTGCCCAAAAATCCCTCAAGGTCCTGGTCCTTGAGATGTTTATAGCCAATGCCAAAGAGGGCTCCCTCACCCTTAGAGATCCATGTTGTTTCCAGGAGCAAACGATCTGATCTTCCAAGATTGTCGTGAGATCACTTGCAACAGTTCATCCTCATCCCCAGTACAGTTTACTCGGTAGAAGCACAAGCATTGACGTCAAATATGTCAACTGGAATCCCAGTCCCACAAAGCTATGTGATCCCAGCCTCTCTACTGTGGTGTGAACGTCCCCTCCAATTCATACGTTTAAAGTCTCACCTCCCGAGTGATGGTACCAAGAAGTGCAGCCTTTGGGAGGTGATTCAGTCATGAGGATGGAACCCTTTTCAGTGAGATTATTGCTCTTATGAAAAGTCCCTAGACCAACATGATGAAACCCTGTCTCTAGTAAAAATACAAAAAAATTAGCCATGCTTGGTGGTGAGTGCCTATAATCCCAGCTACTGGGGAAGCTGAGGGAGGAGAATCGCGTGAACCTGGGAAGCAGAGGTTGCAGTGAGCCAAGATTACGCCACTGCACTCCAGGCTGAGTGACAGAGCAAAACTCCGTCTCAATAAAATAAAACTGCCCTAGAGAGCTGCCACAGTCCTTTTACCACAGGAGGACACAGCTAGAAGTCACTGTCCGTGAAAAAGGGAGTCCTCTGCTGGGTGCAGTGGCTCACGCCTGTAATCCCAGCACTTTGGGAAGCCAAGCGGGGCAGATCACCTGAGGTCTGGAGTTCAAGACCACCCTATCAACATGGAGAAACTCTGTCTCTACTAAAAATACAAAATTAGCCAGGCGTGCTGGTACATGCCTGTAATCCCAGCTATTCAGGAGGCTGAGGCAGGAGGATCGCTTGCACCCAGGAGGCGGAAGTTGCAGTGAGCCGAGAGCAAGCCATTGCACTTCAGCCTGGGTGACAGAGTGAGACTCCATCTCAAAAAAAAAAAAAAAAAAAAAAAAAAAGCCAGCCCTCACCAGACACCACTGGCTCCTTGACCTTGGACTTCCCAGCCTGTGAGAAATAAATTTCTGTTACTTATTAGTTACCTAGTCTGAAGTATTTTGCTACAGCAGCCTGAAGAGACCGATCTTTCAAGCTGTAGAATACCCATTGCTTCATTTGTGGCTGTAAACGCTCTGCCCTTGTTACTGTCAGCAGGGAAAGATGCAGGATTTGTGTGGCTGAAGCCTGTAAAGCTGGAAGGGTCCTCCAGTGGGGGTCAGCTCCAAGGCTAATGTATCTGTGCTTCCTCCACGTAAAGCAGAAAATGCCAGATCCCCCTTGCCCTGCTGGCTTTGCAGGGAGGATAGGATGTAGCTCCACAATCCAGGTTCCCCCAATCTGTGGTCAAAGCCAGGATGAGAATCAGAAGCTGGTGACCACAAGCATTCCTCCCGGCAGCTGATGGCAACCATGAGGGTAGCTGCCTCATTTCACAGGTAACAGGGTCAGAAGTTCTGGTGGCAGCCAACACACTTCCCAGACCAGCTCTGTGTTCCAGTGTGATCTGAGTTCATTTATGTGGCTAATTCAGCTTCCTTGTTCTTCCCAGGGGTTCTGTGAGCTTTTATTTCTTTCCTTCCTTCCCTTCTCTTTTCCTTCCTCTCTCTTCCTTTCTTTTCTTTTCCTTTCTCTTTTCTTTTCTTTCTACAGAGTCTCGCTCTGTTACCAGGCTGGAGTGCAGCGGCGCTATCTCAGCTCACTGCAAGCTCCACCTTCCAGGTTCAAGCAATCCTCCTGCCTCAGCCTCCTGAGTAGCTGGGACTACAGGTGCACACCACCACACCCCGCTAATTTTTTGTATTTTTAGTAGAGACCAGGTTTCATCATGTTGGCCAGAATGGTCTCCATCTCTACTTCATGATCCGCCCGCCTCAGCCTCCCAAAGTGCTGGGATTACAGGTGTGAGCCACTGCGCCAGGCCCCAAGCTTTTCTTTTAAACATGTACTGGGCACTTACTGGCTCTCATTTCCTGAGCTCGGGACTAAGCCCTCTACACACCCAGCATCCCTTTACTAAGCCTCTTTGCCACCAGAGCTAGGTGGTATGGCTCAAAGGCAAGGATCTTCCTCTGCTCTCCTCCAGGGCCTGGACCAGAAGAACCAATGGAAGACAGATCCAGCCCAGATCCCTTCCAACCTCCCAGCAAGCCTGATGAGTTCCACTCCACATGACCGGCCGCCCCTGCCTTCCAGGCACTGATCCTGCTGCCCCACTCTTGCTCTGCCACTCCCTATGCCTGGCTTGCTGCCCGGGCCTCCCCAGTCCCCTCTCACCTTTCCCACTTACTGCCTCCCCCCAGGCTTGTCCAAGATGATAAGCTCTGGTCTCAGCATTCACAGCCTCCTCTATCTCTCAACTGTGTCCCTGGCCATAACTCTGCCTGCTCTTCCCCCTAAAGCAATTAAAATGGGAAAATCTTGCCGGGCGCGGTGGCTCACGCCTGTAATCCCAGCACCTTGGGAGGCCGAGGCGGGTGGATCACGAGGTCAACAGATCGAGACCATCCTGGTCAACTTGGTGAAACCTTGTCTCTACTAAAAATACAAAAATTAGCTGGGCATGGTGGCGCGTGCCTGTAATCCCAGCTACTCACGAGGCTGAGGCAGGAGAATTGCCTGAACCCAGGAGGCGGAGGTTGCGGTGAATCGAGATCACGCCATTACACTCCAGCCTGGGTAATGAGAGTGAAACTCCGTCTCAAAAAAAAAAAAAAGGGAACATCTGCCCCTTCTCACCCAGGAGCAGGTCTCTGCAAGCCTGCGTCACCCTCTTGTCCCTACTGAAGCCCCACAGCAAAATCCCTTTCTTCCTTTAATCCTCCTTACCACGTGACCTTGGAAAAGTCCCTTCCCCTCTGAGTTTGCTTTTCAAGCTTGCAGTCTATAAGCTCTAATCTGTATCACACAGGTGAATTATTAAATTCATTTCTGTAGGTTATACGCTCTAATCTGTATCACACAGGTGAATGATGAAATTCATTTCTGTAGGTTATAAGCTCTAATCTGTATCACACAGGTGAATGATGAAATTCATTTCTGTAGGTTATACGCTCTAATCTGTATCACACAGGTGAATGATGAAATTCATTTCTGTAGGTTATAAGCGCTAATCTGTATCACACAGGTGAATGATGAAATTCATTTCTGTAGGTTATAAGCTCTAATCTGTATCACACAGGTGAATGATGAAATTCATTTCTGTAGGTTATAAGCTCTAATCTGTATCACACAGGTGAATGATGAAATTCATTTCTGTAGGTTATAAGCTCTAATCTGTATCACACAGGTGAATTATTAAATTCATTTCTGTAGGTTATACGCTCTAATCTGTATCACACAGGTGAATTATTAAATTCATTTCTGTAGGTTATACGCTCTAATCTGTATCACACAGGTGAATGATGAAATTCATTTCTGTAGGTTATAAGCTCTAATCTGTATCACACAGGTGAATGATGAAATTCATTTCTGTAGGTTATAAGCTCTAATCTGTATCACACAGGTGAATTATTAAATTCATTTCTGTAGGTTATACGCTCTAATCTGTATCACACAGGTGAATTATTAAATTCATTTCTGTAGGTTATAAGCTCTAATCTGTATCACACAGGTGAATTATGAAATTCATTTCTGTAGGTTATAAACTCTAATCTGTATCACACAGGTGAATTATTAAATTCATTTCTGTAGGTTATAAGCTCTAATCTGTATCACACAGGTGAATTATGAAATTCATTTCTGTAGGTTATAAACTCTAATCTGTATCACACAGGTGAATTATTAAATTCATTTCTGTAGGTTATAAACTCTAATCTGTATCACACAGGTGAATTATTAAATTCATTTCTGTAGGTAGGCTATTTCATGTTAGTACAAATCAAAGGTTCATCTGGCCGGGCACGGTGGCTCACTCCTAAAATCCCAGCACTTTCGGAAACCGAAGCGGGTGGATCACCTGAGATCAGGAGTTTGAGACCAGCTTGGCCAACATGGTGAAATGCTCTCTACTGAAAACACAAAAATCAGCCGGGTGTGGTGGCACACGCCTGTAATCCCAGCTACTCCGGAGGCTGAGGCAGGAGAATCGGCTTGAACCCAGGATAGGGAGTTGCAGTGAGCCGAGATGGTGCCACTGCACTCCAACCTGGGCAACAGAGTGAGACTTTGTCTCAAAAAAACAAATTTCAAACGTTTACCTTATCTGGACAAGGTGATGTGGCCTCCTGGGAGGTAGAGTAGACAGAGTCCAGGAGGAGACCACAAGACAAGAGGCATCTAAAGCTCAAAGGATCCTCCAGTGGGTTTCAGCTTCAAGGCTAATATACCTCTTTCTTTTTTTGAGATGGAGTCTCGCTCTGTCACCCAGGATGGAGTACAGTGATGCAATCTCAGCTCACTGCAACCTCTGCCTCCCGGGTTCAAGCAATTCTCCCCTTTCAGCCTTCCAAGTAGCTAGGATTACAGGTATGCACCGCCACACCCAGCTTATTTTTTATATTTTTGGTAGAGACAGGTTTTCATCATGTTGGCCAGGCTGGTCTTGAACTCTTGACCTCAAGTGATGCACCCACCTCAGCCTCCCAAAGTGCTGGGATTATGGGCATGATCCACTGCGTCTGGTCTGATACAACTCTTTCTCACTGAAGACAGAGAGGAATATAAAGGTCAAAGGCTTTGATGGAGTGTGGTCCAGGGCCATAAGGAGAACAGAGTCCAGGCTGTGTGTGCATGTGAGTGAGTGAGTGTGTGTGTGTGGAGGAGGTGCATGTGTGTTGTGCACGTGGGATGTTTGGAAGCATTATCACCAGATTTTGCTCCCAGTGGCGCCCGGGGCACCCCTTTCAGCTGCTGCAGGATGCATTCCAAGAGAGGAGAGAGTTGAGGGGAAAGAAGGAGTTGGGTCGCCGCCAAGTCATCAGGACTGTTAATAGAAAAACATTAGGTGAATTAAATTAAGCAGACTTTATTTGAGCAAAGAAAATATATGAATCAGGCAGCATCCTGAACCAGTTAAGGTTCGGAGTGCTCCACCCAGCAACATGGGCAGGCCAAATGTATTGAAGTAACACACAGAAACGGTCTGATGGGGCACAGCTCAGCATTTGCCTTATCTGGACACAAGTCTGATCAGCTGGCAGCCTGCGACTGGTTAAAGCACAGCTGTTGTGACTTGCTGAGACTCAGCTGTTTGATGCAAGAATATAGTCTCAGTTGGGAGGCGGTTTATGTAAATACTAAGTTAGGTTGCAGTTCAACAGGTATTGGCAGCAGCTTTGGGCCAAAATTTAATTGAATTTAAACATCTCTGCTTTTTGGTCAGCCTCTCAAAACTGAGAGGCTGACCAAAGCCTTGGGCCCTGACCTCATTTTCTGTCACCATCGTACTGGACTTGTTTTGTTTCAGTATTGAGTTCACAATTCACAATTCACAATTCACAATTTCATCTTAGCTGGATGATTCTTTATGTTTTCTTTTTCTTTTTGAGGCAGGAGTGCAATGGCATGATCTCGGCTCACCACAACCGCTGCCTTGTGGATTCAAGCGATTCTCCTGCCTCAGCCACCTGAGTAGCTGGGATTACAGGAATGTGCCACCATGCCCAGCTAATTTTGTATTTTTAGTAGAGACAGGATTTTGTCATATTGATCAGGCTGGACTTGAACTCCCAACCTCAGTGATCCTCCCACCTTGGCTTCCCAAAGTACTGGGATTACAGGCATGAGCCACTGCACCCGGCCTCTTTATGCTTTCTTAATATTTTAGTTCTTTTTTTTTTTTTTGAGACAGAGTCTCACTCTGTCAGGCAGGCTGGGGTGCCGTGGTGAGATCTCAGCTCACTGCAACCTCCACCTCCTGGTTCAAGCGATTCTCCTGCCTCAGCCTCCTGAGTAGCTGGGATTATAGGAATGCACCACCACACCAGGCTAATTTTTGTATTTTTAGTAGAGACTGGGTTTTGCCATGTTGGTCAGGCTGGTCTTGAACTCTTGGACTTGTGATTCGTCTGCCTTAGCCTCCTAAAGTGCTGGGATTACAGGCATGAGCCACTGCCCAGGGCCATGTTTTTGTTATTCTAATAGACCAGTTGATGTATAAAGAATGGCTGCATAGGGAGCATGTAAGACTTCCCAGGGGAAACAACGAAGCAGAGACTATTATTATTATTACTATTAAAAAAACTTTTTTTGAATGGGAGTCTTGCTCTGTTGCCCAGGCTAGAGTGCAGTGGTGTGATCTCAGTTCACTGCAACCTCCCAACCTCCGCTTACCGGGTTCAAGCCATTCTCCTGCCTCAGCCTCCTGTGTAGCTGGGATTACAGAAGCCTGCCACCATGCCTGGCTAACTTTTGTATTTTAGAAGAGACAGGGTTTCACCACTTTGGCTAGGCTGGTCTTGAATTCCTGACCTCAAGTGATCCACCTGCCACGGCCTCCCAAAGTGTTGGGATCACACGCTTCAGCCACCACGCTTGGCCTATTATTATTACTATTTAAGATGAAGTCTGGCTCTGTCACCCAGGCTGGAGTGCAGTGGTGAGATCTCAGCTCACTGCAACCTCCACCTCCTGGGTTCAAGTGATTCTTCTGCCTCAACCTCCTGAGTAGCTGGGATTACAGGCATGCACCACCACATCCGGCTAGTTTTTGTGTTTTTAGTAAAGACAGGGTTTCACCATGTTGGCCAGGCTGGTCTTGAACACCTAACCTCAAGTGATCTGCCTGCCTCAGCCTCCAAGTGCTGGGATTACAGGCATGAGTCACTGTGCCCAGCCAGGGAAACTATCATACAATGGCTATAAGGTGACAATGCCAAGAAACAGAAGTGCACTCATTTTAGGAGTTTCCACAAACTGGTCAAATAAACAACTCAAAGTCCATGCAATAAAGATAGCTCAACAGCATTTGAGTACAACTGGTAAGTCTTTGTTCCAGGGATGATGGTGATTAAGGGCCCCTGTTCACTACAAAACAGCTTGATGTAAACTCACTCCATTCAATGAGAGATCTGCATTACAGAGGTTTCAGAGACCTCCACCAAGCAACCACAGACAAGCAGTGTTCATAAACAGAAAAGGAAGTGGCATTGGGTATAGCCTGATTGGTTACAGCTCAGCCTTTGTCTTATTTGGACACATCTAGATGGTCACTGTGACGTCTGTCCCTGGCTGAAAGCTGGCTGCTATGATTGGAGGAGACTCCATTCTTCTTACAAGAATATAATCTCACATTGGGTTGTATTTTGTTTACATATTAAATGAGGCTACATCCCAGTCAAATCCTCCCTACAAAGTATCCCCCTTTTTGTTTTTTGAGACAGAGTCTTGCTCTGTCACCCTGGCTGGAATGCACTGGCACGATCTTGGTTCACTACAACCTCTGCCTCTTGGGTTCAAGCGATTCTCCTGCCTCAGCCTCTGGAGTAGGTAGGATTACGGGCACATGCCACAGTGCCCACCTAATTTTTTGTATTTTTAGTTAGAGACGGGGTTTCACCATGTTAGCCAGGCTGTGTCTCGAACTCCTGACCTCAGGCAATCCACCTGCACTGGCCTCCCTCGAACTCCTAACCTCAAGTGATCTGCCTGCGTCAGCCTCCCAAAGTGCTGGGATTACAGGCATGAGCCACTGTGCCCAGCCAGGAAGACTATCATATAATGGCTATAGGGTGACAATGCCAAGAAACAGAAGTACACTCATTTTAGGAGTTTCCACAAACTGGTCAAATAAACAACCCAAAGTGCTGGGATTACAGGCATGAGCCACTGTGCCCGGCCAGGAAGACTATCATGTAATGGCTATAGGGTGACAATGCCAAGAAACAGAAGTACACTCATTTTAGGAGTTTCCACAAACTGGTCAAACAACCCAAAGTGCTGGGATTACAGGCATGAGCCACTGCACGTGGCCAAAGTTATCTCCTATTCTGACCTCTACCACCATAGACTCGTTTTTCTGTTTTTTTCAGCTTTAAATAAATGGAATCACACAATAAAAAAATAATGATGAGAAAAAAAATGAGGTTACAGTTCATTAGATTACAGGATTTTTGAGCAAATGTAAATTTTCTTTTTAATGGAGTCTCATTCTGTCACCCAGGCTGGAGTGTGGTGGTGAGATCTTGGCTCACTGCAACCACCACCTCCTGGGTTCAAGTGATTCTGCCACCTCAGTCTCCCATGTAGCTGGGATTACAGGTGTGTGCTACCACGCCCCGCTAATTTTTGTATTTTTAGTAGAGAGGGTATTTCACTATGTTGGCCAGGCTGACCTCATGTGATCCACCTGCCTCAGCCTCTCAAAGTGCTGGGATTACAGGTGTGAGCCACCATACCTGGCCAGGAACATATTTAATTTAATGTAGCAGAACTTACTCCCTGTTCCCAGAGAGGCAGAGGCAAGAGTTGCTTTCCATGAAGAGAGCACCTGATGAGAAGGCAGCTACAGAGGACTCAATGGAAAACCAGAATCAGGAGAGAAAGAAACGTGCAGTCCTTGCCTATTTCAGGGGAGGACCCCAGACTCCCGGTTAACAGTAGGGACCTGCTTCCCTGTGCGCCCCAGCTCCCTTTCCACCGTGCAGTCGCCTCCTGGGCCTGGCGACCGCAATTCAGGGACTGCTCTAGGGTCCAGAGTTCTCAGAGTCAGAGGACGCCCAGCTGAAGTGTTTTGGGCCTCGTGGCAGCACCAGATCCACGGTGAGGTCGTGCTGCTCATCCTCAGAGTACACAGGCCGGTAGCCCAGCAGCTGCAGTGCACTGGCGCAAACCTTCTGCACGTGGCGGATCTTGGTGAAGGGCAGGGCGTGGCGCCAGGCCTGGGAGACGTTTTGCGCATTCCTAGAGGAAGTCTGGAAAGCCTCAAACGCCTTGCCGATCCCTGACCCGTGGGTGATGTTGCGGATCCAGGTCTCCAGCTGTGGCGTCAGGCTCAGGCCAGTGAAGGCGTAGAGTGCCCGGATCTCTGCCAGCGGCTCCCGTGCCAGGTCCTCGAAGCGCACCAGGCGGTAGCGGCCGCGCAGGAAGGGTGGCGGCTTGAGTGTGGCGGCCTCGGCGATACGCACATGGCTGCGGCACACCTCCCGCATCAGGTGCAGGTGAGGGTCGGCCTCCACCCACTTGCCGTGTGTGCCCAGCACAATGCCGCTGTCAAGTGCTAGTAGCTGGGCCGCCGCCTCCCGGGAGCGCAGCACCGCTCGCGGGTCGCGCACCAGGTGCACAATATGCAGGTTGAGCACGGGGTCCCTGAGCAGCGGGTAGAGCACCTTCAGGTTGAAGAAGCGCACCTCCTTGAGCACCACATGGCTGTAGGAGCGGCAGGCCTCCTGGGCCAGGCTGAAGGGCTGCCGTGTGCACAGAGTCCTGCATGCGTTCTCTTTGCTGATGGCACCTCGGGGAAAGGCGCTGCAGGCTGGTGGCGAGCACAGCGCGCGGCTCACCTCCCACTTGAAAAAGGCGGACAGGTTTCGATTCTGTGGCATGTAGGCATCAAACACATCCATGTCGCACAAAAAGACAGAGCGCACCAGGTCGCGCACGGCCATGTGCAGCGCTGTGGCGCTGCCCCGCCACAGGGTGGTCCACACGTGCCACGCGGGCTCCATCAGGTAGAAGACATCAGGGTGCTGGCTGAAGAGCTGGCCCACAAAGGACGAACCCGAGCGCCATGAGGACAGCACCAGCACATGTACACGCTTGCTGCCTGTCTCTGCGGGGGACGAGGGCCCTGGCTGGTAGACGACAAAGAGCAGGAGGCAGATGGTCTGTGCCAGGAGAAGCGTGGTCGCTGTCTTGCTGGAGAAGCGAGGCATCCGCATGCTGGCAGCTGAGGGCCTTGGGGTGGAGTGAGCAATGTTTAGGGACCGAGGCCCTCATGCCCATCCCATGCCCCAATTACTGCCCAGTGCCCTCAGGGAACAGCCCTGGAATTCAACTACCCTACCCCCTGCACCTCCCAAGACCCCTATGGCCTCAGTCGAGGGCTTTCCCAGGAATATGGAGTCAAGGCATACCAGGATAGTCTGTGCTCAGAGCAGAAGTCTAGCTGCAGACTATGGGATATCCATGGAACTGTCTACCTACCCACTCACCTACTTACATACACCTATAGGCTAGCTATCTGTAGAGACAGGTAAATATTATGTTTCTTTCTTTTGTTTTGAGACAGAGTCTCGCTCTGTTGATTAGGCTGGAGTGCAGTGGCATCTCTCCGCTCACTGCAACCACCGCCTCCTGGGTTCAAGCATTTCTCCTGCCTCAGTCTCAAGAGTAGCTGGGATTACAGGCATGCGCCATCAACCCTGGCTAATTTTGTATTTTTAGTAGAGACGGGGTTTCTCCATGTTGGTCAGGCTGGTCTTGAACTCTTGACCTCAGGTGATCCGCCTGCCTTGGCCTCCCAACATGCTGGGATTACAGGCGTGAGCCACTGTGCCCAGCCGGTATAAAACTTTTGTTATTAAAAATAAGCAAGTAAATAAAGTGGACAAAGAACACCAAGTGTCGCCATCACTGGTGGGGAGTGAAGTGCTGAAGGCAGCATGGACTCCAGAGGGAGGGTGTCCTGGAGTCCTGCAGGTTTGCAAGGAGACCAGTTGATGGGGAGCTGGGAGGGAGCCAGAGAGGCAGAGAGGTGAGAGCGGAGTACTGTCCCAGCCAGCTGAGGGGACTCACCACCGCCAGGGCTGCTGGGAGTGTTGCAGTGCTGATCGCAACTCCATGGGAGATGCCTCAACACACGGCAAAGCAGGAAGGAGAGAAGATCAGCGCCCCAAACAGAGAGACAGCCCCGTACACAGAAAGCTCCCCAGGGTGGGAGCAGAGTTGCCCTGCCTGTCTTTTGCTTCAGGATACCTCATAGAGAGACCCTTTTGGGTTGTGGAGCCAAAGGGCTTGATGGGGGTTGGGCAGATGTCAGAGCACCACCAGGCTCACTGAGGTTGAATGAGTCTGAGTAGGGCATTTCTCCAAATGGCTGGAAACTGGCAGGGTCTCCTGCTGGATGGAGGTGAGAGAGCTGGCTCTGAGTCCTAGCACTGTCACTGGGGAGCTATGGGACCTGGGGCAAGTGACGTAACTTCTCTGAGGCTCAAATTCCACCTCTGTAGAATGGGATTTGCAACATTTAACCTCTTAGAGAGGTTTAACCTATGAAGAGAGAGCCTGGGGAGGCATTTCTTACACACCTGCCCCTGTCACTGATAATGTCACTGTGCTAAGCTACCTCTGGAGAGCAAGAACGCCTTCCACCTGGGAAGTCTTCCCCCAGAGGAGACACCCACAGGCCATCTACCCTTCCAATCCCAGTATCTCATAGGCCATCCTCTGGCCTCCAACCACACCTGAACCTTTAGTGGACCTTAAGAATGTCATGTGTATTGGCGGGGTGTGGTGGCTCATGCCTGTAGTCCCAGCACTTTGGGAGGCCGAGGTGTGTGGATCATGAGGTCAGGAGTTCGAGACCAACACGGCCAATATGGTGAAACCCCATCTCTACTCAAAATACAAAAATTCGCTGGGTGTGGTGGTGCACGCCTGTAGTCCTAGCTACTCGGGAGAATCGTTCAAAACCATGAGGTGGAGGCTGCAGTAAGCTCAGATCACACCACTGCACTTCAGCCTGGGCAACAGAGGGAGACTGCCTAAAAAAAAAAAAAAAGAATGTCATGCATGTCTCACAGGTGGAAGGAACACTCAGTTGGCCTCCTGCATTCCAAGGTCCCAAAGTGCTCTTCTCTTTGCAGCTATTGCTTCTGCAATGATCTCAAGGCTGGGAGACTCTGGAAGGGAAGGGCCTGGAAGTTTCCTCCTTGCTCCTACATCCTTTGCTCCCTGCCTTCCCCTCCCCTGGTCCAGGTCACCACTGAGAGAAGCCAGGGCCTAACTTCAGAGCAGATCCCACCTCAGCTCCTTCCCCTCATTGTGGGGACAGGAGAGAGTGGAGGATGCCCAACAGCTCTGTCACCTGCTGACTCCTGAGCTGTCTTCTGGATCCCCACACCTACTCTTGCAAAACCTGGAAGATGAGGAGCATAGCCCCCTATCTCCTCTGCACGTGTGACTGTACATTTTCCAGTGCTGGCTGACGGATGGTGGGCTCTCCTGCCAACAGAGGGCCAGAGAGGAAGGGAACTCATATTTGCTGACCTCAATGATCACAAGTGCTAGCTGTTTCAAGTCCACTGGATGATTTAACTCAACAGGCCCTGAGGTGGGCATGATGATGTCATTTTTCAGGGTAAGGACTCAAGGCTTGGAGACACAGCAGGAAAGCTGAGACCCCAGGGCTCCTGTTCCTAAGCTCCTGGCACCTCTGATCCCAGGCTGTGGGCCTCTCCCACCTGTGATTGCTCCCTGCAGAGTGCAGGACTCTGCTGCTCTGGCCCAAACACAGTTGCCCTGGCCAGCCCAGCCCTTGCCTGGGTAGGGAGGATCTTGATCCCAAGCCAAGGTGTTTACCTTTGTTCCAGGAAAGCCAGAGGTCTTCTTAAGAAGGTGGTTGGCCAGGCGCGGTGCCTCACGCCTGTAATCCCAGCACTTTGGGAGGCCGAGGCGGGTGGACCATGAGGTCAGGAGATTTAGACCATCCTAGCCAACATGGTGAAACCCTGTCTCTACTAAAAATACAAAAAATTAGCCGGGCATGGTGGCACGTGCCTGTAGTCCCAGCTACTTGGGACGCTGAGACAGGGGAATAGCTTGAACTGGGAGGCGGAGGTTGCAGTGAACTGAGATCACGCCACTGCACTCCAGCCTGGTGACAGAGCAAGACTCTGTCACAAAAAAAAAAAAAAAAAAGGTGGTTGAATCACCCTATGCCACACAGAGTCTCCAGAAGACCAGCTCCTCACTGGGAGCTTTCTGATAAGAGCAGCACAGTGGACAATTGGCCAAGGATTCAGTTAGGAAGAACCAGTCGAGCAGGCACTGTGATATGCACTTTCACCTTCATGACTGAATGTTATCCTTCCAAGTTCCGAGCAGGCAGAATCGACCATCCCTGTCTGTTTTAATTGAAGCAGTGGGGATCAGAGACGAATACCCAGTGAGTAAGAGGCAGGGCAGGGGCTTAAGTCCAAGAGCCAGACTCCCAGCACAGGGCTCTGCAGCAGGTCACACTCCTAAGCCGTGGTCCAGTGAACTCTTCCATCCTGGAAGGACTATTCCCTCCTACTCTAAATTCTTCCCTTTCTTGATTCTTTTCTGGGGGCACATATTTATTACATGTTTAATTTTCAGAAAAGTAGTACATAGAGGGTCGGGCGCGGTGGCCCATGCCTGTAATCCCAGCACTTTGGGAGGCCGAGGCGGGTGGATCACGATGTCAAGAGATCAAGACCATCCTGGTCAACATGGTGAAACCCCATCTCTACTAAAAATACAAAAAATTAGCTGGGGATGGTGGCGCGTGCCTGTAATTCCAGCTACTCAGCAGGCTGAGGCAGGAGAATTGCCTGAACCCAGGAGGTGGAGGTTGCGGTGAGCCGAGATCGCGCCATTGCACTCTAGCCTGGGTAACAACAGCGAAACTCCATGGCAAAAAAAAAAAAAAAAAAAAATCAGTACATATAAGTCACACAACATTCTAAAAGTAGAGACGGGGGCATCGCAACCTCGGCCTCCCAAAGCGTTGGGATTACAAGCGTTGAGCCATGGTGCCTGGCCAAAAATGCAGTTCTTGATTGCCTTGCCTCTGTGTTAAAAGGGAAGGGAAATAAAAGTCCATTTCCTAGAGGCTAGGTACAGTGGCTTATAAAGTATCACAATGCTTTGGGAAACCTATCTCTACTAAAAATATAAAAATTAGGTGGAGTGTGGTGGCAGGTATAATCCCTGCTACTTGGGGCGCTGAGGCAGGAGAATCGCTTGAACCCAGGAGGCAGAGGATGCAGTGAGCCAGGATTGCACCATTGCACTCCAGTCTGGGCAACAAAAGAGAAACTCCATCTCAAAAAAAAAAAAAATTTAGGCCCAGCACGGTGGCTCACGCCTGTAATCCCAGTATTTTGGGAGGCCAAGGCAGGTGGATCACCTGAGGTCAGGAGTTCAAGACCAGCCTGGCCAACCTGGTGAAACCCCATCTCTAATAAAATACAAAAATTAGCAGGGCGTGGTAACTCCAGCCTGTAATCCCACTACTCAGGAGGCTGAGGCAGGAGAATAGCTTGAATCCAGGAGGTGGAGGTTACAGTAAGTTGAGATTGTACCACTGCACTCCAGGCTCTGTGACAGTGAGACTCCATCTAAAAAACAAAACGCTTGGTCCCAGTGCAGTGGCTCATGCCTGTAACCCCAGCCTGGGAGGCCGAGGCAGGATTCGTCGGGGGTGGGTAGGTGGGGATATCACCTGAGGAGTTCGGACCAGCCTGGCCAACATGGTGAAACACTAAAAATATAAAAATACGAAAATTAGCTGGGGTGTGGTGGCCGGCACCTGTAATCCCAGCTACTGGGGAGGCTGAGGCAGGAGGTTACAGTGAGCCAAGATCACCACTGCACTTCAGCCTGGGTGACAGAGCCAGACTTTGTCGCAAAACAAACAAGCAAACAAAAACATTTCCTAGGCACCTGTCCTGTGGCCAGAGGGCCGGTCCTGAAACCCAACATCAAGCCGCTAGAGGCAGTGAGGCACAATTCCAATTCCCCTGAGTCTGGTTCCAAATTAACTCACCAAGCTACTTTCTCTCAAGCACTCTACGGAGAGCTTTTGAAAGACATGCCCTTTAAAAGCCAAGTATGGAAACAAAAGACCCCGGCAGTGAGGATCCCACGGGCAGCTGAAGGCCCAGCCTTCCAGTTGCTGATGGAAAACCACCCCAGCTCTTCCCGCCAACCCAGGTCCCCGGTAAAGACAGAGGAGTGTCCCCAGCTGTGCCACTGGTCTGGCTCCCAGCCCACCCAAGTGTGGGGAGTGAAGAAACAACGTACCCCAAAGCTTGGTGTCTCTGCCCGACCTGCCACGGCAGGGAGTGGGACGCCTCTCTCCCTGGGCTCAGCAAAGGCTCCCAGACATCGTCTCTTCCAAGTTCCACCGCATAGCCAGCTCCTTCTCTTCACTGGGAGGGTCCGCAGGGCTGAATTGCTCCTTAAAGTCCCAAGACCATGACGGGACACCATTGAGCTGGGAAAACGGCTCTAAGAGGCATGGATGGGAGTCAGGGGACCAAGCCACTGGAAGCTCCTGGAGATTTGAGGCAGAGCGAATCTGAATGGGATGTGGAGGGTGGTGGTATCCTGGGGCTACCACAGGGAGAGACCCAGCCCAGAGCCCCGTTCGGAGCTTGGCACTGCGGCCCACAACCCTTGGCGCTGCCTGGTGCTGCTAGCCTGGAGCGCACACTATGTGGCGCTTTCAGGCGTGGCCAGCGGGAGCCGGGGCGGTAGGGGAAGGATGGAGCAGGTTTGCCCCTAACTCCCTCTCCCCACCCCTGACAGAGGAGCCACACCTTGGGGGAGGGGCGCTGGCTGAGGGTGGGGCAGGAGGGCCCAGGTGGGCCGGGGCTCTGGCTGAGTCACCTCTCATCTAACCACAAAAGAACAAAGGCCTTAGTGAAGGAAGCTGAATCTTAATCTTGGCCCTCCTTGCTCTGGGAGGCATCCTCCCCGCAAAGTGACTTGGAATCCAAACCCTTCTCGAGGCCCCAGCCTCAGCCCTAAGCCAAGTCCCAGGCACCTGGATGACACAGGGACCTGGTGTAGTAGTGCTCTATCTGGGAGGGGTGGAGAGACCAGGTGGCCTTAGGAGCTGGGCCCTTCCTGCCCTAGCCTCCACCCAGAGGCACAGCTTCATAGCAGGATATGCTTCAGGAAATAAAAGATCCTCACCCACCCTTTACAAATAACAGGTCAGGACAGCATGGTGGCACTCAACTGTAATCCGGCACTTTGGGAGGTGAAACTGTCGGATCACTTGAGATGGTTCAAGACCAGCCAGGCCAGTGTGGTGAAATGTGGGCATTGTACTCCAGCCTGGGTGACAAAGTGCTGGGAGTAGAAATTTGCATAGTCTTTCCAGGCTGTGGTTTTGCAATGAATTAAGATCCTTAACAATGGTTGTTAAGTTTTTGGAATATATCTTAAGGAAATAAACCAGCAACAAGGATTTCTACACAAGGTTTATAGAAGTGTTGTTTATAATACTAAAAAGATGCCAACAAAAAGGATTAGAAAGATGTGTGCCACAATGCCAACCATAATAACTTCTGTGATCAAACTGCTGTGAACCCAGCACTTTAGGAGGCCAAGGCAGGTGGATCACTAGAGGTTAGGAGTTCAAGACCAGCCTGACCAACATGGTGAAACCCGGTTGCTACTAAAAATACAAAAATTAGCCAGGTTTTAAAATACAAAAAATAATCCTACCTACTCGGGAGGGTGAGGCAGGAGAATCGCTTAAACCCAGGAGGCGGAGGTTGCCATGAGCAGAGATGGCACCATTGCACTCAAGCCTGGGCAACAAGTAAAGAAAGAATTACTTTTTAGCCTTTCATGATGGGATATTAGGGGGGGTCTCATCTGACTTAAGCTGAAACTGTACTAATCATTTTGCAAAATCAGGAATCTTTCCGCCTCCAAATATTCAGTAATAATATCAAACGTTAACTTACCTGTGGGTCAGTTAACCTGTGAGTTAATAAAATCCTGTATATTTCTTGGCTTTTCACTTCTTGCAGCTATGCTGTGATTCAGAGTCAGAAACTATCAACATCTGATCTGTAAATAATTTAATATTCACCAGATGCAGCTGTAATTATCCAGCATGTGGCTTTCACATGGCATGTGAATTCCACTAAAAATTCACTTACTTGGGGAAGAACCAGGGAACTTTCACCAAAGACGTAGCAGAAGTTCCAAGGTCTTTGGGCAGAGCCTTTGTAAAGCACTGCTGCTTATGAGTAATGAAGACAGGTGTGTGCAGCCTCTCCCTCCCTATTCTTCCCCATTCCAAACCCTTAAAGGTACATGTGATCTTCCATTTTGACTTTTTTTTTTTTCTTTAGATAGGGTCTCACTCTGTCATCCAGGCTGGAGTGCAGTGCTGTGATCATAGCTCACTGTAGCCTCAAACTCCCGGCCTCAAGTGATCCTCCTGCCTCGGCCTCCCAAAATGTTGAGATTACAGGGATGAACCACCATGCTTGGCCTCATTTTGAACATTTTAATTAGAAAATTACAAAACATCACGTGTTCTTTACACAAGATTTTCATGAGAATGATTTAATAAAATGCAAACCAATGTTTATACATATATTGTCATCTTTCTATATCTCATTACTTTATGGGGATTTAAACAAGAAACTATTTTTCATTTAGATCTCAAGAAAAAAATTTAGGCATATAAAACAGACCAAATATTAAAAAAAAAAAAAAAAAAAGACAAAGGGGACAGTGTTTTAGGGAATTCCTCTGCTTGTATACTTCAAAATAGCTTTGTTTCCAAAACTGTTTTTAGTCAGCCTAAAGGAAACGGTGCTGGAGATGAAAGCTGATCTTCAAGGTAAACGGAGGCACACACTAAGAGGTGTGTTTGTGGGCATGAAGCATAAACCATAGGGGCCATGTCTTCCAGTGGGAATGACCTGCTTGGGATCAGGAAGCAGCTCCATCTGTCCTCGGAGGAGACCGCTCGCGTCCTCAGGAGGTGAAGGGGCTGAACAAACCGTCGTCCACGTGCAGAGACCCCTTCCAGCCATCTCTGCTCCCGCAGACACTTGCTCAGCCACCACGGTAGTCCAGCTGGACTGCTTGGCATTCTGTTAGTGGCCAGGCTGGACTGGCCTGCCCGGGCCAGCATCCTCCTTACCCCCTCACTGCTTCTTGTGTCCTTCCCAAAGCTGCCCGCCCCACTCTAATGAGCACCCTGTTCCTTAGTCAAGGGAAACACAAGCCGCTGGGCTTCCCGCTAGCCTTCTAAATAAACTGTGGTTGTCAGGCCATGGGAGCCAATCCCAACACCAACTCCTGTCACCCCTGTCCTTTGCAGGAAGCAGGAAGGCTGTCAAGGAGGAGGAGGGCCAAGTGCTCAGGCTGTTGAGTGAGGCCCAGAAAGAACCTGTTGTGACAATCCTTTCTTCTCCCAGTGTTGCTGAAGGGGCTGGGAATGAACAGCCCCTCTGACTTTAGCCTGCCATCCAGGGGCGCGCACAGAGGGCAAAACAGGGCAAAGAGCCAGCCACAATCGGGCAGGCATCCAGGGCTGCTCCGCTGAGCTGACGACAGATGACTGACTTTCCGGCTGAGGCAGGTGGACGGTCCGAGTGTCCTTCAGCGGCCCTCCCTCATGCCTGTGCCAAGGCAGCCCTCCCCCTTGGGCCCTGCCCCTCTAGGTCTCCAGTGAAAGGCCTCAGCTCTGGAAATCAAAGCTCTGAATGGGAAATAGAGAGGCCCAGGGGTGCAAAGTGCTAGTGATTGGCATGTTTGTCACAAGAGAGCCCTGAAAAGAGTAAGAGTGGCTCACAGTAGAAGGAAGAAACGCACAGTGTGTTTCTCACTCAACAGAGGAAAAGTCTCTGCTTGACCAGAGATGGGACTCTTTCCAAGATGTCTGAACTGACTGCAATTTTCTCCTGAAATTCAACGCTAAGGCAAAGAAGAAAAACCCAAAAAGCTTATTACAGCCTCCAGGAACCCTCAGACCTTTCCACAAATTACTCCCTGATGATTCTGCAAGAGCTCTGAAGGTACGGAACTTGTATAGAGCAAAGGGAAGAACTGTTGTTTGTCTCAGAGGGGAAAAGCACACAAGCCCATATGTGTCCCCTGGGATCTTTCAGAAACATCCTAAGATGTTCCCAGGAGATGACAATGAGGCAGCCACGGTCCTGCTGTGTCCTCAGAAACAGCCTTCCTAGGATAAGTGCTCCTTCCACACTTCTCCCCGGGGCATCGCTGTCACAGGGACGGTGGTTACCACCTGATTCTGAAACACGAAGATCTTGATTCTTTCAATCACCCAGAGGAAGATAAGCAGGATGCTGACATATTGCACCCAGGCAAACTTCACCATCTCCCAGAACCCTGGCTGATAAGTACGGACAGTTAAGGAGTGGAGGGCCACATTGTGTTAAGTATGAAGAGAAGATCCAAGATGGAACTGGCCATGGCAGAGGGATCGAGAAAGGAGGCAGGATGGCATAAGGAGTCGTACCTCTGTCATGTACACACCCGGATGGAAGCTGACCTGCTGAACTTGGCCAAATGGTAAAACCTGCCACATGTGATTTGAACTATTTATATACTAAGCCTGATCACCAACCTCCTAATCAGACAGCCTCCTATCCAAACTAGATGGATCATGAACTAGAGACATCTTGAGTTGTTAGCCAGCCATCCTCGATCAGGGACACCTCTAAAATCTTCCAGTTGTGTAAACTTACAGTACTGTTATAAGCCCCTGCCTAATTGTGCCTGGATAGAACACAAATTAGCTGATTCCTAGATTTGTGTCTCTGGAATTGTAATTCCTAAGACCCCAGTTAAAATGCCTTCTCTTTTGTCTGCCTTTCTGCACTGTTGGTGTTGGTTTCATTTCCTATCAGTTAACACAAGTCAAAATTAAACCAAATTTTAGGTCAGACAGGGACTGGGAAGAATGTTCCACATAACCTTAGCATAAAAGGGATAATCCATGATTTTTTTTTTTTGAGACAGAGTCTCACTATGTTGCCCAGGCTGGAGGACAGTGGCATGATCTTGGCTCACTGCAACCTCTGCCTCCCGGGTTCAAGTGATTCTTCTGCCTCAGCCTCTCGAGTAGCTGGGATAACAGGCATGCACTGCCACGCCTGGCTAATTTTTGTACTTTTTAGTAGAGAGAGGGTGTCACCACATTGGCCAGGCTGGTCTAGATTGTCTGACCTCGTGCTCTGCCTGCCTTAGCCTCCCAAAGTGTGGGGTTTACAGGTATTAGCCACCACACCCGACCGAAAATATATGACTATTAAGATATAAATATGGATGATTCTTTTTTTTTTTTTTGAGACGGAGTTTTGCTCTTGTTACCCAGGCTGGAGTGCAATGGCACGATCTCGGCTCACCGCAACCTCCGCCTCCTGGGTTCAGGCAATTCTCCTGCCTCAGCCTCCCGAGTAGCTGGGATTACAGGCACGCGCCACCATGCCCAGCTAATTTTTTGTAATTTTAGTAGAGACGGGTTTCACCATGTTGACCAGGATGGTCTTGATCTCTCAACCTCGTGATCCACCCGCCTCGGCCTCCCAAAGTGCTGGGATTACAGGCTTGAGCCACCGCGCCCGGCCCGGATGATTCTTATCTAGAAGAATTGCTCAGGAAGAAATAGGACCAAGAAATGAATTATTTTTTCCCGTATTAATAGCAGACATACACAGTCATTTTTTGAATCATGTAGCCTAAACTTCAAAGACACAGACATTTCTATAAGGCTATAACTCTGTAGTGATTTCCAAGATAAAACTTCCACATCTGTTCCTACTTGGGACAACTGAGGAATCATTCCTCTTTGA